GCTCTGTATTAACTCATGTTTTGGGTTTTGTCGGTTTTTGTGTTATCTTTTATGAAATATGTCACCGCTTGAAAGCTTTTTACACCTATTTGATATAATTTGCGTGGCTGGAGGTCTGTTTTACACCTGGAAGTGGAGCCATTATTTATCAACGCAAAGAAAATAAAGCATTAAAGGTCAAATGCACACTTATACAAAGTCAAAGTACAGTATTCAGTAGCTCTCAAGCTATGGCACAGCGAAAGGAAACTCCAAATGGCAAAAATGATTTATCCGAAGTCCGCTTTGTTTTCGGAATGCAAGTGTCACCTTTGTGGTAGTATTATCGACAAGAAGTATTGCAACCGAACCTATTCTTAGAGGTAGCTGAATAGCGAAATAAAAACCTGCTTCGTATCGCAGAATTTGTGAATTGTGAAATTCTTGCGTGTGATGTCCGATCGGATGACGGATTTTCTAATCTTCCTAAATTAACATTAAATTAAAAGAATGGGGGCCAAGAAAACACCCAAGACAGTGAAGTCAATCGAATGTTTATTTAATATTAAAGCAGAGCGACTGGAGGGATATCTGCAGAAATGATAAACAACTTCGACATAGCTGTAGGAATTAAGTCAAGAAGGCATCCTCTCACAAGCACAAAGTTCAGAGAAAATGTACATGTTATTTTATCTCATCTCTTGGAATTGAAACCATTTGCAATACATGATCACTTTCATGAAAATTTCTTCACAGATATATCATCAGATACATTATAGCAACATTATAGACAAATTGTCGCTGCATTTGATGACTGAAACAATCGCAAGAGGAACATGCACCAAGCACTTATACCAGTGGACACATCAGAACTCAGAAGATAAAGAGGAATGATTATGACTGTGAATACTGTAACACTTGCACGAATAAGCAACAATGATTTGTATGGCTGTAACATAGGCTACCAAGACTATACCCTAGCTTGAAAGGATTAATAGATGCACAAATCAAATGGCTTGTTCTATATTATAATGCAGCTATTCCAATGATTAAGATTAGTGTCACAGACAATAGTTAAATGTACAATTGAACGCTAAAAAAATACTATTTTAACACATCCATAGTCTCATGGGAATACAAATTAAATTGGTATTCATAATATATTTGAGGTGTTAAACTTATTGAAAACTATCATTATCCATTAATCATTTAGCACTCATATTATTGTACATCTAACTACTTTCTGTGTCAACTTTAATTGAAATAGCTATATGGTTACAGTATACTGTATATATACATATATATTCAATTTAGAATTTTGTTCTGGCACTGCTGTATGGGTTTTCGTACTGTCCATGAAGTAAATTGAGTTTATATGATTTCAATTTGTGATTAATTGTGTATTCATTTGGTACCAAGCAAAGTCAAGAATATTTCACAGGCCCAAAATATTTGTCTAATCAGGTAAAATCATTCCCTTTCCATATATAAACTACACTCAACACATAAACATTGTGTTTTGCATACACTACAGCATAAATTGGGTTGCAAATGTCCCTCAAGGCATCAATATCAGCCGTGCTTGTATCTGAATGCTTTTTCGTAAAAGATCTCATCATATCTTTCGGTCAGAATTTGCAACCAACTCAAAGCAAACATGCAAGCCAAGTGATTTTTTTATGTGCCTTCGGTCAAGTTTATATGCTGTAGCAGTCATGCAATAACGACTGGTACGTTATAAAATACAACACACGACTCAGACTACGTTTGGCATCATAGTGAACAAAATTGAGATAACAATATAATGGATGATTGAAAAATAACACTGATGTAGAATTAGTTTTGTCTTTTGGTTAAGTTCAGCTACATCGCAATCAATCTCTTGGTTGTCACATTTTAATGGCTGCTGAAAAACATTTATTGTATTTATACATGTAAAACTTTTTAAATTCATATCTATCTAAACGATCTATCTCTGATACTCAGTTTATCGCACATAATTTTCGAGCTGGATTGATTATCAAAGGCGCGTTCGCGATATATTGTAACGAGCAGCATTACTCATTTACACAAACGCCACGAGTTGGACGTTCTTCTAACGCTCTTTTAGCGAAAAGCATCAAAGGCAAAAGCTGGTAAATCAGCGACTCGCCATATTACCGATTGGAAAAATTGCCAGTATATATATACACGCCAAAGGACAGCTTTTCCAAGCAAATAACCTGCTTGGGCTTCAAAATAGTGTTTGCATACAAAATAATAGAAAACTGCAAACAAATAAGAAAAATAATACATTTTGAATGTTTTTGCATATTACAATTGAAGTCGCTTTCTCATAGCTTTTCTACAGTCACTCCTCGGCTAGGCTTGCAAACACAACATTTAACCGGAAGTTGTAAATTACAACATATCACATTTCAACCACCCTCCCCTAGGACTTCTTGTTGTCATAATTTTTAGGAGGTCACGTGACCAGAGGGAACCAGGGTCTTCGCCGGAGCCCGAGCGCAGGTAAAAGACCCTGGCTTGCGAGGTTGGACCATAACCTGACCAAAATGAATGACCAGGTATAGAGATGCATCATGGTATAGTTATTTACCACAAGAGTATTTCCACATTGTAGCCAGATAATGCCATCTCTCTATAAGAAGCCTGACGTCGTGACTTCAGAACATCCCAGATGAGGACACTATATGTGGTGTAAACAGTTTTTGGCATGGGACTTCAACTATATTTTATGTACAATATGACTATTTCTATTATATTCTGTTATATTTCTATTATATAATTATTTCTACAGAAAAACACATTCCAAGCCGTTTTCGCATCGGATGAAACTTCCTGGTATCTCATGTACAACTATGATGACATTGACTGGGCTGTTGCTGTACCAAAGTATGAATTCAAAAGAGTTATGGAATAGTTATTAAAAAAAGCGCGACCCATTGTTAAATGCACATATGAAGATCAGTTGCGAATATTTTAACGTACTTGTAAAATGAATTTATTTGGTTAGTTTATTAGCATTCACTGTCCATGGGGACAATCTCATAAGTCATTAGCATGCATTTGAAATTTGAATTAGTATTGATAACTTTTATAAACATCCCTGCTTCTGAATAGTATTCATAACTTCATAAACATCCCTCTAACATGACTTACTGATCTTTAATGCGAGTTACAAGTGTGCACATGTTATGACCTAAATACCGCGTCATGATTTGTGTGTAGCCTTATTAATTATTCATGAATTTCACAAGCATTTGCACTTAAACTTATCGTATTTTGATACGCCAAACTGCTTTGAATTTAATATTGGTGAGGTTCAGATTTGACTTCCGCTACTAATACCCCTCACTGGCTTAGTACCCATCTGATAAACGATTGGTTAATCAGATAAATCAAACGCATCTGATTGGTTAATGCCCCTAATGGTAACGGAAGTCAAAACTGAATCTCTTTATTATTTTAAAATTCTGGAATAATTGATGAGGGAATAACTCGATCATAACGTCATATTCAGGCCTATAATCACTTTCATACCTCTCTATGTCCCAGTAAGATGAACTTCTCCCTAAGCGGATCTTGATAAATTATTAAAACATTTCGCTTCTGACGTTTTCAGGCATTTTAAGTCTAGCCATCTGCTTACAATTGTAATGCTCCGTATGAACATTTTTATATTATAATAACTTTTAAATTTATGGAAAGAAAACATGACTGTAGTTCTATTATTGTAAAACCTGTACCCAGGGTTTCTGAAGGAAAGGAGTTCAGCCACCTTAGGCACGGTATAAGCTAAAGTAGATATAACATGCACAAAATCATTAACATCTGTTTTATTTTTATCAAGGTCACAGTACGGTCTCTTCGTCAGTGAAGGAGGTCTTCCTGTAATTGGTTGGAACGCTGGAATGAGAGGCTTTGACTACAGGAATAACGAAGAATACCAGAACTTGCCCCTGTAAGTATAAAGTATGGAAAAATTGACGTTCTAAAAACAAAAAAGATTCTTTTCTCATATCCCGAAGGCCATTATATCAAAGTAAGTGTGATCAAAGTCGTGGTCGAGGGTGATAATATTTCATGAAATATTGATAATATCGGATACTATCATCATACAAGGCATTTATCAGGGCTGGCCGTGGCGTGTCCTTCGTTCGACTTTGGCAATTTACAGCTTGCAACGCGAGTGTTTTCAAATATTAGATTCATACTTCATGAGTAGAAATAGTATGGCTGCATATAGCCTGCGAGCAAAGGCTGCATACTAATTTACCACTACAAAGCAAGATCGATCTTCTTATATCTCTACTGTAACTGCTCTTGCAATTTCAGCACAGTGCCTAATTATTATTGACTTAGGCACTTTTACATGTACTTGATAAAATTTGACTATACCTATAATTTACGTCGTTAAAAGTTTTAACTTTTATAAATATATTAAAATATATTCTAATACATTAAAATATATTAATTATAAATATATAAAAATATATTCTGATACTCGTTTTATTTTTTTCGTAGCTCCGGAACTATTAACGCAGAAGAAATTGATGACTACGAAGGAAATCTCGGAAAGGGTAGATGGATATTTGCTACAAGCCCACGCGCTGATAGATCACCACGTCTTGAGTGTTATGACTGGTTCATTGGGTCGTCTAACCTAGGGATAAGTACGCGGCAATGCCCAAGATTTGAAACGCAAGCGTCAGTTGATAGAAGGTTTCGACGTCAAGACAGATTCGATCGTATTTGCTACGCAAGGGTATTTCCTCAATCAGGTGCTGGATTGCGCTGCTGTTACCGTCGATTAGGAGGACCACTTTTAAAGAACCTGCCCGAGCCTGGTGGATTTTTATCGCGCAATCCTTTAGTCTTTGATGTTGGAGAAGACGATAGAGCCTTCGAAAACTGTTGCCTCCTTTCCGATCTTTGCGAGGCTTACTTCGTCCAAAGACCGAAACAAGATGGAAGATTCTATAGGCCACGAAGATTTGGTAATTCTTAAAGTATATAGTATATAACGATCAAGAATGTCAGACGCGCTATTGCAATTCATGCTCGATAGGTCGACCGAGGACGATGAGTGACGAGTTTGGCCGTCACGAGACCTTGGTTAGCTTTTCTTAATGCTTTCCCAACACTATCATGTATTTAATTTGAGCTAAAACTTGGATTATTGGAACACTCATCAAAATTTTATTTTGTTAATGCGTAGTTAATTCTCTCAACTTTCATCCTCGTTTGACTGGGGCTGACTTTATGCTTGTTCGTTTGACCTTCCCATTTCCCTTTCCGTGTACATTTGAATTTGATTTTTGTATTACAGAAACAATAAGAATGATAACAATTTTTTGCTGTGTATAGGAGCATTAACAGCCTATCCTATTCATCTTGAACTTTCGCCATACAAACTATATATACTTATATATATATACTTATGTTTGTCCCAGCAGGATTTTGGCCACATGGGAATTTTAAGTCCCGAGGAACATGTATCAATGTTTTCACGTAAAACAGGTCGTGTATGCATGTATAGTACATGAAAGACGAGAATTTATTTGTTTGTTCAAATTATCGCAAGTATATACTGAGTATCGGGAATGAAAGATGCCAACAAAATTACAGAATCTTTAGTGCGCATATTATGACACGTTTACATGTAGAAACAAACAAAAGTAGATTTTTGTTCTTGCAGGATCTCACATACTATCCTTTATTTTAAAAAAATTATTTATTGTCATATAGAAAATAATTCCTGCATGCATATAGTATTATTTTAAAATTTTTAGGTGACATTTTAAAATGCGTGCTGATGGCTGCGGGAATGTGCAATAGTAATATACATAGTAGTATATAACAGATATTTTTATCTTATTTAAGCTTTGGGATTTGGAGACCCTCATTACAGCAATTTGGATAATATGAATTACACATTCAATGGTTGTGGTGATTTCATGTTTGTCATTAGTAATGATAATCAGTTTCAAGTTCAAGTCCGGTTTTCTCAAGCGGTTGGGGCTGGTTTCGGAACTGTAGTGTCTGCTGTGGTGCTCAAAATAGAAGGCGTTGATCCTATTCAAATTAATCACAACACAAATGGTAAACGTGTGATTTATTTACGTACATACTTACATTCGACAGTACATAACATGTAATAATAAAAAGAATATGAAACGCGAAGAAGACTTTAATAGTATTAATATAAATTCACTAATATGAAAATTAAACTCATGTCATCGCGCGTTTTGGCCGTTTACTGAGTGCCATAGCTGAGAAATCTCTGAAGCAATGTTCGTGCTGTTCTCATTGATAGCAATGTTCGTGTAATATACAGGGTTCAACTGTCAAACACTTTTATAGGTGTATCTGTTACATAGATATGGCGCTCATTCATCCACCTATCGCGTAGAATACCAATTATAATATAAGTGTGATATAACAGACGATTTCATTGGCTAATGCGCGTGCATTGTGACGCAATAATGCACTGTGATCTGTGGCACTGCTTTGCTCTTTCTCTGTTTTTACCAGAAAGCAAGAAGGAATAAAACAAAGGAACAAAGCAATTTTCTATAGTTCTACTTAAAAAATTAACCGGCTTGGCATTCGTCGAATTTGTTGTTGTCTCGACAAGTTTTGGGTAAAAAGCGTACAAAATAGTCGAGAAAAAAACTTGAAAAAGATACAGCTGGAAGACCAAATACATACAAAAAGGCAACAAAAACTGAATATAACTGATTTAGAAAGTACCATCAATTCTTCTGATAATAACTGCTAGATATATTTTCGGCGAAAGACAAAAAATACAATATTTTCGAATATGAAAACTGAGTAATAAACACGACGAAACTTACGAGTTACCGTCTTTCATGGCAAATCCAGCAGCCCAGATGCTGAAAAACTTTGGCAAATTAGTCAGTGTGTCACTGCTTTTTTATTTCCACTATTTTAAACAACTTTTCCGGGCTTTATAGCATCAAAAGTTTGTATGTTGTTTTGGCAATTTTTCTCCTTCGCTCGCTTAAAAATTCAAACGACATTAAAAACATGCGCGTGACGTCACTGAGTACATGTTAGGAGAATTTCAACGTCGATCTTTTGAGTAAAATTGTTTACTATGTAATATCTTCTACTTATATTATAAAAGAAATAGAAAAACTCGTCTCGTGCGTTTATGGTGTGATAATGCACTTGGGAAATGTTGGGAGAATACTCGAGGAGCGTGTAAAACACTCGGCTACGCCTCGTGTTTTACACGCTTCTCTCGTATTCTCCCAACATTCCCCGCGTGCATTATCACACCATAAACGCACGCGACTCGTTTTCTATTTCTTACATAAGTCTAGTACCATATAACAATCAGCTCGTCAACAGTGTATATTTTCCCCTTCAGACAGTGGCCCTGCCATGTTGTTACACATCAATGGTGCAGAATATTCTGATTACGACAACTTGGATACGAATTCTGCTATCATTGGAGATAAAGTTTCTATTCGAAGAGTTGGGGATAACCAGCTACAACTAGTAACAGAGGATGACCACTCAGTAGTCGTAACTCGCGAGACCAACAATCTAGTTATAGTTGTTGCTCTGGATCTTAGCTTATTTGGTTCGACTATGGGCTTGCTTGGGAACTGGAGTGATACAGTGGAGGATGATTTTGTCCTACCAAACGGAACCAATTTAGGATATCCCTTGACAGACGAGCAGATTCATTTTGATTTTGGCGAAAACTGTAAGTATATTTTACTAGAATGCCATTGAAAACGATTCCACGCGAATTGTCCTGGGAAAGAGGTTTTCCAGTTCGGGCTGCAGTTGATCGACTGTGAACCTCAACGAACACACGTACTATAATCCTGGATTCGAATTTTTCTGTCTAGTCAGTAGTGTAAGTTTTAAATCATGCAATCGACTTGACCATTATCATTTTCGCATGCATGCACAAACTTAGATTTTGCTTGTCAAGCCAGCTATTTTCATATATGAGATACAGTATACACTGCGAAACTAAATATATCCATTTGGTCGGAAAGGGACACCAGCTAGGTTGGAAACGAACATAGATAACTTCACTCGAAGTTGTATGTACTATTTACAACATGAGCGGCCGTGTTGTATCGAATATACAAACTCGAGCCGAAGGCGAGAGTTTGTATATCCGATACAACACGGACGCGAATGTTGTAAATGGCTTAAAAAACTACTCATCTTATGAGTTCATTGGCGAAGTAATTTTAAAAATAAACGTTGTCGAAGCCAAGAAAATCAAAGTTAAATTTTATGTAAATCAACATGAATCTGTATCACATATACAGACTCCTTCACGCCCATGATTTCTTTTGTGTTTTCTTCATGAATTATTAATGAGTTTTTTAAATTGTCATATAATAATAATTCAACAAAACTATTATTACAAGTAAAACACACAATATAATTTCCATTCGTTTTAGGGCGACTGACACCAGGACAAAATCTTTTTATTAATACAACTGCTGACGAACATTTTTTCTGCCCCGACGATTACACACCGATTTTTGTTAGCAATTTTACATTCCCTAATAGTTCCATCCAGGAAATTGCTGCCAGTATTTGTGGAGGCAATATCAATTGTGCATTCGACATTGCTGCTACAATGCTTCCAAGTTTTGGACAGAACACAATCGATTCTTTTAATGTGTTTGAAGAAGAGAAAACAATAGCAGGTAGAAATATATGTTATATTTTTTGGGGAAAGGTGGGAATTTAACCCACCTTCTGCATGATACATAACTTACTTCGCTGGCAGAGGTGTCCAGTCTCTGAGTACCCTCTAGTTGGTGTGTTGTTTTTGTCGTTAACGTTGTTAAAATTATGGTCACTCACTGTAATGATAAATACGACGTTTTAACAGTTCTAATTTTACTCCGAATCTTTTCTAGAAAACAACGCTCCGACGTTTGAAAATAGCAACGTAGTTTTCAATTTAACGGTCGGTGAAGAATTCGTGTATACTCTCAGTGCAGAGGACGCCGATGGTGATAATCTGGAATTTACAAACACAGATCTCCCGCCAGGAGCAACAGTTGAAAGAAATGGAAATAACATAACTTTTCGCTGGCTTGTAAACTCCATCCAACCGGTATGAAAAAACCACGTTTAAAAAACGTAATCAGCGAGTAAAGTTGTAGAACTGCAATATGAAACAATCCAAAATCCTCATTATTTTTGGAAAATAAGACAAATATGATAATTGACAATATACTAATGAAAGTAATATTTTGATATAAATCTAATTTTTTTAATCTGCTATATTGATTTTAGTGTTCTTGGGTGTTTGTTCTTAACTGTAATCTTATAATTTGCATTCGTTTACGAGAACCAAATGCAAATTCTCACTTTTCTGCTCAAGCGTGGTAAAATGAGCTCATGCATGTCCTTTCTAATTTTAGTTTAATTTGTCGTTCTCGGTCCAAGACACTAAGAATGCATCGACTATTCTTGTTCCGATCATCAATGTATGTGCTTGCGAAAATGGTGGCCTTTGTGTTCAGCAAGCGACAACTATGGAGACGCAAGGCTTGTCGTTCAGTCAACATCAAGTATTAAACTGTGAATGTGCTACTGGATTCACCGGTGAATTTTGTGAAATAGTGAGAGATTTCTGTCAGACACAATCTGGTTCTCCCTGCCATCCTCTAGCAAACTGTACAAATTCACCAACTAATTACATATGTGGAGATTGTCCTTCCGGGTATAATGGGGACGGTGCAGATTGTGCAGGTAGGATCTTACATATATATAGGCCCGTCTTGCTTCTAAACCTGTATAACTGTTTTCTTGCAGCGGACACAGGTCAAATTAGTCAAAGCACGGACAATTAGCATGCCTGTGGTTTAACATTTCCACTGTTTTGGTCACTGCATTTGTATTTCTTTTTTTTCTGAAAAATATTTTTGGAAATCATTTGAATAATTTTCAAGTGTATAAACAATTAAAAAGGTTGCATTGGAGAATTCCGTTAATCTAGGATTAAATAATCGAAAGTCGAACATTATTTAATATCATATACAGATATTTAAGGCAACGACAAAACCAAATTTCATTCTAAAAACGCAGGAAATGGCCATTCTATAGACTTTTAAAATTCACAATTTTCCGGTAGAGCATGCCCAGGGCCCAGGACCTAGCTCTCAGCTATTCAGGAGTCCAATACGCCATGACCGCTCATCTGTGGTTACTGCCACACAGCCTTTGTTCACTGCCTCACAATCTGTTCTTATGATGACTCCTGATACAGCCCCAGCTCCAACTTCATAAAAGTATAGGTCAACAAAGAGGTGATATACCCTCATGAATGTGCTCAGCGTCAAATGTATAATATTAAAGTATTTCTATATTTAAAGTTGTTGTCAGCAATTTTAATAAAGATCTTCATGTTTTGTAAAATTTCCGCCATTAAGATAGGAACTGCCACTTTAGGGATTTCAAAATTTTTCTTACTGGGAAGATTGACTGGATCAAGACTAGTCTATCAAGATGTAGCATCTTCAGACCCACATGCACTATGACACCCAACAAAAACATTTCTTCTACCACCTATATATACGCTGACCATATTTTATTTTTGACCAGATATCGACGAATGCGCCAACAATGCTACTCATGACTGTGAGATGGTATGCAGAAACAATGCTGGGTCATTTGTCTGCGAATGTATGGACGGATACGAACTGAACGATGACATGAAGACGTGCAGTGGTAAGTTGCATGTCTGCGCGAAAATTACATTACAGACACAAATAATTTTCTAGACTGACGCACGTTAATACTAGTGTTTCTCACTCGCTCAGGAGTTGCAAACCACCACGAGAAGAAAAGATAAAAACACTTCTCATCTGAGAGAAGGTTCTTCATCAGGAGAGTTTGAACTAATTAAGGGACCGGTCATTATTTATGGCAGGGGGTGGCATCGAAGAGAAATGCATTTCTAGGCAAAAATTTTGCTTACCCAACCATTAAAAAGTAAAAAAAAATTTACCCAACCTCAAATATCAATTAAAAAATAAATACCCAACCCTGGCCAAAAACTTTACAAAAGGATACTATTATTAAACAAATAAGTAAGATTTTGCCGTTGTCTTTTTAGTTATATATACACATATGACATCATAATGTGGGAAGAACAATAAAGTGACCCACTCGCTTTATATAATAAAAGGAAAAACGCCGAATTAAACATGTAAATAGTTTACTTTTTCGAAATTTTATAAATATCACGGTACATGATCTATACAATTAAGGCGATGCTATTGGATCAGGTTTTGTGTGACGTAATTCTGTGCGTCTGTCCTGAAATAGATCATGGCTCTCGACCAATGAAAGCGCTTGAATTCTTATCGTTATTGTATAAAATTAGTTGTCACACATGTCCTTTACCACTTCTGTGACATGAGTTGGATAACTGCTTGTGCAATTTTCTACAGTTTAAAGTTCATTTAAAGCGCATTTTCAAAAATATTCGCTTGGACAAAGCGACTGTAATGTAAAACGACCCTGAAAGAACAGTGCAATAGTTCAACCATTTTTCGAATCCGCAGCGTTCGAATTGAAGATCGTTGTGTGTTTAGTCTTTTTAACTAGTTGCATTCTCTATATACTGATCCAAATAAAACCAAATTTATCGGATCTTTCATCATTGCATGTTCGTCGCACACCTTGTCGAGCCGCCCTATACTCGCACGGCCAACTTGTAAATAAAACATATATAGTAATAGTACTACTATATTATAGTTTCATCCGTACTAAACAATCTTACTCCACCTATATACATATTGTTTTCTTCTTTAGACATAAACGAGTGTACAACAGCACACGACTGTCAGCAGAATTGTATAAACGAGCAAGGTTCATTCAGATGTGGATGCAGTGAAAACTTTATAGTTGATCTAATGAACCCTAAAAACTGTGTTCGTAAGTAATTATATAGTATTTTTCAACATATCCTTTAATTCGGAAACACAACTTAATAACTAAGAAACAAGTAGAACAGTTATTTAAATTATTTCTGTTCGAAAAATCCGCTATGAAAATGTGGTAAAGCGGTACATGCGCACAAGTCATGCAAGCAACAATATTACAACAATCAGCAACAAATGCTGATTTCAACGCACGTTAATTATAATTGTCTGGGTGTTTCAGGGTGTTTTCATGCATTTAAACTACTATTTGTTAAATGGTCTTTTGTTTCGAGTAGCAGTAGCTTATATCTCGTCAACTTTGTCGTAAATCTTTCTATAGTTTAATCTGTTTTATGTCATGTATGATACTAAATTATAAGCACGTTGTACTGAACAAATTGAAGAACAATTAAGAGATATGTATGGTGAGCTAATGTAGTATTTTAAATGGCACGTACTTATTTATTTCCGATAATCAATGCCATTATACTGACGACATTTTATCTTCGTTTAGCTCGTTCAGCTTGTCCTTCTGGTAATCCTTGCCAACAAGTGTGTGCAATAGACAGTAACTCAGGAGATCAAGTTTGTTCGTGTAATCGAGGCTACACCGTTAATCCCAATGTTGCTACAGACTGTGTCGGTAAGCTTCAATTAAACATTTTCTTATATTAAACATCAATAATTTTTGATACTTTTTTTGGTCCTGATGAATTTTGAATCGCATTATTTTTCAATAGAAACCTAAAAATTTAGTAAGTTTAGTATCCAGAAACCCATTTTCTTCAGACTAAATAAATAATAACTTCATGAAAATCTGGCAAAATCTGAAATTCTGAAAATCTAGCAAAAAGTAACTTGCTCCTTTGAAAACATTAAAAAATTTAAATGATATTTTGTGCAAGAGAGGTCTATTTTGTTGTTGGTTGTTACGGCAACTAAAGTGTTTAATTTGCAACTGGTTTGCATATCTATTGACTTATGGCGATGAAAGTTATCATATAGATTTTTGCGGAAAAAGAAGTGTGGTGTACTAGTTATGAGTAATAACGTAACTGCGAAAGATGGAGGTTAATCATGTACTCATGCGGTAATAATATTATTATATCATCTTCTTTTTTACATTATCGGGATATTTTCACTTTAGATGTTAATGAATGTGAAAGTTCTACAAACCTGTGTAATCAGCAATGTACTAATACCATGGGCAGTTTCAATTGCTCGTGTCTCAGTGGATACGTAATGGGAGATGACAGATTTACATGTCAAGGTATTGTCATAAAACGATCACGCGTTACCTATATATGTACACCTGATTGGTTTTCTACTTTTCCATTTATTTTTACTAATTCTAGATGTGGATGAGTGCATCATGGCTGAAATGCTCGCTTGTAACACAAGTAATGGAGGGGAAATTTGTGTCAACCTACCTGGAACATTCAAGTGTGAATGTAATAATAACCTAGGTTTTGTTCTAATTGATGGAATATGTCAAGGTAAGTTCAAATTTAGACTACCTGCGCGAATTCTGGCCTAATGTCGAATTATTTTTGCATAAGGGGCGGACCATTGGAAAAGCGATGGGGGCTTTTTTAACTTGTTGCTTGTGTCGATAATTTTTTTAATTTAAATATAATCCCTTGCATGCACGATTTTTTTATTTCAACTTATAATTTTCTCTATTAAAAAGTCTCTGCAGTCTGCACGAATTTACTTTTTCAAACTTTTTTGGTGCACGAATTTTTTTCTTTCTGTTTCCCCTGCGCGATTTTCATTTTTGCTCCCCATCACTTTTCTAATGGTCCGCCCCCCAAATGTATATATCTTTTCTTTGACTTTGTGCGTGATATTGAATTGAATTACTACTGCGGATATTATTTCCAAATGTAAGAAATATGTTCTAATGTGGTCTCGTCGAATGTATCCGAATTAATATTCTTAATAATTCCAATCTATCACTCAATGTATAACTGGAAAAGGAGTTTCGAAGAATATCCTGAATGAAAGGGGAAACGAAAGTTGGACGTCAGCTACTCAGCTTTACCAGAATTAAAGATGTATCTGGTAATAACCGGGAAAACAGATACAATATGGTGTTTCAAGTAGAAATAATGGTGGAAATTTCGAGTTTCAACCTCGCACTGTCTTGGGATAAACGGCAAATATGTGATGAAATTCTAATTTATGCTAAAATCAAATATTCGCACTGAAACCACAAGCACCACATAAAGAAATAAAATAATTTGTAAATGTTTAGTACTGAGCATGTCAGGTTTTCAAGTATCATTTGGTATCAGCAACGTAAAACATTGCTATTGCATGGTTAGCTGGGCAAAGATACAATATACGCACGTGACGGCGAAGGACCAGATTTATGAATAAACGTAACCAGTCACGTAATTTTCAAACCAGAGGTTGAAAGTCGAAATGTATCTGTTTTTCAAGGTTATTACTCAATAAGTAATAAAGGATCTATGATTATTTTCAGTTTGTCTAAGTTTTCAATACAAGCATCAATAATCCTTATCGAGATGCAATATGGAGAGAAATACAAATCAATGAGCACCCAGCACTATGCCAGTCTTTTGTTAATATTTCTTGAAAAAAAATTATAATTACTGAATATGTAGTTATAATTGTTAAATAATAAATATTTTTTATTTTGGTTGTATCGCGCACAATATTGCATTTAAATTTAAGAGTTTTATATATTTATATATTATGTAATTTAAGTTAGTCCATTATGAATGCAATGATCTTTATTTCATTGCGATAACTTTTATAGCTTTTACGTTACAAGAAATCAAACAGAGTCTGGTGTTTTTTGGGACACCAATATAAAATTTGATAATATATTAAGATTGACCTTTACGACAGAAAAGGTCAATCTTTATTCCTTTATTAGCTAAAAGCAATCTCGTTCATAGTCAATTTTTATACACAAGTTGCTCTAACTTCGAACAGCTAACAGTTCACTTCAAATGGTTAGCGGTTTGCCGTAAACGTCAATCTTAAAGTTCCTAATATATATAATACGTCGGCTGAAATAAAACGTATTGAACCGTGATTGAACAAAACGCGATCCAAATGATAATTTAATTTGTTTGGGATCAGATTAACCGTAACTCGTTTACATCTTTCAAACGTTGGGGCTTAACTCGAAGAACAAAATGTTTGACTTTGCTCGAGTTAAGCCCCTATTTTCTACAGGGCTTAACTCGAAGTACCTAACTCCAGTTATGTACTTCGAGTTAAGCCCTCAGCGGAAATGGGTGTGGCATGGGCGTGGTCGGGGCTTAACTCGAAAGGGCGTGGTCGGGGCTTAACTCGAGGGGCTTAACTCGAAGATTTGCTACCCCTAATTAAATAAATAAATAAATAAACATAACAAACTCGCAGGAATAATAGCAATAGTGTGTTATTTATTTGTCGTCAAATGACACAACGGTCATGAAACAACTTGCTAAAATTAAAGATTTAAACTGATTTCTTATTGTTTGAAATGACCATTTTATACTGCTCTTCAGCGTCACTGTTTAATATAAATCAATTGATTTATATCCCACTAGTTCCCGATGATAACCAAGTGGTTGTGGTTGAACCTGAAGAACCACCAGCAGCAACTCGAGCAGACAGAGACAGCTCAGTTCAGTTGAGGTTGCCTAACTTTCAAAGCAATAAGGTATGATACAAAGTTGTGCGGGATATATGGAATCAATTTACGATTAAAGATAGCTTTAATGAGATTGTTACCACCGCCAAGAGGTTATGTTTTCGCCTCAGTTTTATTGTGTGCATGTGCGTGTGTGTCCCACTGATCAGTGGTGTGTCCCCCCCCTTCCTCCCCCCCCCCATCTGCCACAGTTGATGGTGCTAAGATAATTAAGGAAATACAATTAATGTAAAAACAAGGAAATTATTTTTTAACATGCAGATTTCAATAACTTATTTTACATTTAAGGCTATTACCCTGGATTAGCTTCATCTTTCGTAACGATTCTCAGATATTACTTCTATTACTGTCGAACTATAGTACGATAGACCAACAGACATTGCATTCAGAAGTTCCATCGCAGATGCTCTTAACCGTTACTGTAATGCAGATGATCAAAGAAGGACTGAGTGTGGTTTACCAGGGTACGTATGTGATTTTATAGTTATTCGGATTTTGTGCGTGTCTTATCGCCATGAGGCATGACACGTGATGCTTTCAACCTCTTTTCAATGCTTTCCAGGGACGCCGGAACTGGGGGGGCAGGGGGGGCGGCTGCCCCCCTTGCCTTTTGCTAGGGGGGGCAGGGGGGGCAGAAGTGCCCTTTTAGTTGTAAAATAATACGTGATAAA